GCCGCGGGCAGCCGCGGGTCCTCCGAGGGCGCGCCGCCGCTCCGGCCGTGCGGGCGGGCTCGAGCTCACGCCCTGCGCTGTTTTTCTTCCTCTTTAACCATTCGTGCGCGCGAGGCGAGGACGGCGTACGGGTCGGGAGACGGGACAGAGGCACGCTGGGCCGGGCCGCTCGCTCGGGAGGAGCCGCCCGGCGCTCAAATCCACCAATCCGTGGTGACCAGCCCCCAAGCCCGGCCCCCCTGCCTGGTAGGAGCCAATCAGAAGTAACGAGGCGGAAGCCAATTGGGTGGCGGGGAAGGAAGTCCAGCCAATAACAAGAGGGGAAAGGACGGGCGCGCTTCCCCTCTTCCAGCTCTCATTGGCGCTCGAGGGCGCGCTTTCGCTGCCGGCGTTCAGTCCCGCTTCCGGGTGAGGCCCTCGCCGTTGGCCCCGCCCCTTTCTCGTCCGCTCGTGGGCGGGGCTGCGGGGCGAGGCTGGGAGGACGGCGGCGCGCCGCCGGGCGCTCGCGCTTTCCCTAGGGGCTCGCGCCGCGGTGCCACCCGTAAAAACGGGCACGCTGCCGGCCGAGCACCGCAGGGCGGGGCCCCCGCCTCCGCCCTCATCCTGTCCCGTCCCCGCCGGCGCGGACATGGGCGCCAGGGCCGCTCTCCTCAGAGGGCCGTCCGGCCCGCGCTCGCGGCGCCCGCTGAGGCCGGGCGTCCCCGAGGCCGGGGACGCGCCGAGAGGGCGTGCGTCCGCCGCCCGCGGGGGCGGAGCGTACAGGCAGCGCTTGGCCGCGGTCACACGTCGGAGCGCGGGGAGCGCGCCCCCTCAGATACCCGCGTCCCCCAGGCCGCGCCGCTCCCCCGGGCGCACCGGAGCGGGGCTCAGGAGCGCAGCGGCTCGGGGCGTCCGAGCGGATGGTCCGGCCACGTCCTCACGCTCGACGCTCGGCTCTGGGAGGAGCAGGCCTGGTGCTGGGGCTCCCGTGAGCTAGGTGCGCGCGTCCCGGGGTCTAGGTGCGCGGGGCCCACGGTACGGGGTCTAGCTGCGCGCGTCCCGGGGCAGGAGGTCTAGGTGCGCGCGTCCCGGGGCCCGGGGTCTAGGTGCGCGGGGCCCAGGGTACGGGGTCTAGGTGTGCGTGTCCCGGGGCCC